GTGGGATTGCTGGGTCATAGAAGGGTTAATATTCTTAAAGAAATCTCCATGGCTGTTTATTTGGAAGTAAATTCAATCATGAATTTATATTAGGCTTCTGCTAAATAAAAAGTAAATGTATGTTTTTACATTAGCAAATATCTTGCAATGATAACTTTTGAGTTAACAAAAGGGTGTTCTTACTTTAAGAGAAGAAGAAATACACCAGTCCATTAATAAACTTAAAAACAATAACTGAGTCCCTTAGGACAAGCAGAAAATAGGAGGAAAGGACAAAGAGAATGCATTCTTGTCTTTTTCAAAGACTCTGGAGTTATATCCAGCCACAGGTGGCTCACACTATAATCCTACCACTAAGGAGGAAGAGATCTGAGGATCATGATTTGAAGCCAACCTAGACAGGGAAAACCCATGAGATTCTTATCTCCAACTAAGCAGCAAAAAAGTGAAAGTATGGCAAGTGGTAGAGTACCAGCCAGTGAGTAAAAAAACTATGGGATAGTACCTAGGCCCTGGGTTCAATACATAGCACCATCAGTCTTCCCACCCTCCTCAAAAAATTGATGAGGATATGAAAGATCTTCTGAACTATTTTCTTACTGAGAAGTGATTAAAGCATGTTAACGCTCATGGGGCTAATCATTGGATCCAGCCAAAAGAAGAACTCTGAATTGAGGTAGTGGAGGGCAGGATGAGAAAAATCAGTGGCATCTCATTCCCACAAAAGTTTCATCCCCCTCTGCTTTGAGGAATTTCAGAAGCTGCTTGGAAACTGCTGCCAATCAGGTCTGGCTTTCCTGGGAAATTTTGTTCATAACTGTAAAGCAGTGTTGCCCTGATAGCTCTCCCAGAAATTTTTCCAGAAAATTGTCCACACAGCCTTAGCCCCCACCCAACAAAGAGTTTTTACAGGTGCAGCCATAGCTTGATGGCTGCAGCTTCCCTACCCCTCTACTGCCAGTCTGCCCTGTCCAGGCCTGGCCCCCTCTCTTTACTCCTATCAGCCTTGGATTGTTTGCCCTTTCAATTCCTTGACTCTCAGACTCGGCAAACCCTCAGAGGATTTCCTCACCTGTATCTGCCCAGCTCTGTCTGCCCACCCTTGGCACAGGCACAGAAAGCCGCGACGTGCTCCTGACCAAGCCACAAGCCTAAGGGAAGATTACCCTGAGAAATGGAGGGCCTGCCTGGGCAGGAAGCCACAGAACTCTGTGTTATGCATTTTTTCTTATGTTTTTAAAAATTAAGTAGTTGCACAAAGGAGTTTCAGTTCAACATGTCAGTTTATGAAGACAATGCATCTTGATGGATATCGCCCCCTTTCATAATTCTCCCCTATCCCTTCAAGCCCCACCCTCTCCTCAATTTTCCTAGTTCCATCTTCACATATATACATTGAATATTATGACTGTGTTCATCCACCCCCTTTCTTCATTCATCTACTCTCCTCCCCTTGACCTCACCCTTCCTCCTCACACCACAAGTTCCTGGAATTCATTTTGTTAAACTCTTAAGTTGTTTGCAGGAGGTATATCATTGGAATCTTCCCTTATGTACATCATACTTTAGTTAATATGTTTGTATAATGACCCTGTTTATATTTATAATTTAGATCTAATTTCCACATGTGAGAGAAAACATGTGTCCTTTTGTCTCGCTGAGCCAGACTTACTTCACTTACCATTATTTTGTTTCAGGTCCATCCATTTCCCTGAAAATGATATAGTATCATTCTTCCTGATGGATGAGTAAAATTTTCTTGTATGTATATGTATGTGTGAACACATACACACATACATGTGTGTGTGCAAGTGTCCTTACTGTATCCTGACTTGTAATCTTTTGTATAAATGCCCAAGGGTGGTATTGCTGGATCATAGGGTAGGTCTATGCTTAGTTTTTTGAAGAATCCTGTTATTTATTCTTTAAAGGGTTTAGCATGTGTGTCCCAGATCTGTGACTTCTCACATTAGGTTGATTTAAGGCTTCACAGTTGGATTAATTTAGGGCACTGATTCTTAAACTTACTAATTTTTTTTATTTATTTTGGCCTCAAAACCTCTAGGGGACCTAAGACAAGCCCAGATGTATTTTACAGTCCTAGGAAAAGAGTACAGGCTAGGAAAAGAGTAGAGGCAGATTCCCTCTCCCTACCACAGTTGCATCAACCTCTATAGGGTGTTTGGCCAAGAAAACCTCCTTGCCCAAGAAGTTAAAGCACCCCCAGAGCCAGGTGGGAGCTGATGGCTCACATCTGTAAGCCTAGCTACTCAGGAGGCTGAGATCCGATGATTGAGGTTCAAAGCCAGCCTGGGCAGGAAAGTCCATGAGACTCTTATCTCCAGTTAACCAGCAAAAAGCTGGAAATGGAGCTGTGGCTCAAGTGGTATACCAGCAACACAGAGTATAAAAGCTAGGGGAAAACATCCACGCTTTGTGTTCAAACTCCACTATAGGCACATAAAAGAAGGAAGGAATGAAGAGAAGAAGAGGGGGAGAAGGGAGGGAAGAGAGAAAGAAAGAAGAAAGGAAGGGAATACCTCTAGCTGAGATAAAGGCCATAGGGAGTTTAGGGGCTCATTCAGGAGAGGGAATGGGAGGGAGGGAGCCCACCTATCTGTGTCTATGCACCAGTGTTTGTGCTGGATACTGCATGATCATTCTTTGATGGAGCGGATAGTCTTTCCCTTCACTAACTCAGTTACCAATGAACTCAAACTGAACCCTAGGTCTAGTCCCAAGGCCACATGGTATGGGGGACCTGAGGATGATATTCAGAGCTCATGGCAACACTTTGGGCAACACTAAACACCTTACACACACCACCACCACCACCACCACCCAGACTGAGCCAAGGAATTGTTCTGCTGAGATTTGAACCAACGTCTTTCTGACCTGAAAGCTTGGTGCTCTTTTTAATTGTGTGATGCTATTTATATACAACATGGTGTGTAAGTAAGAGTTGACCTACTTTTTCAGTGATGATGGTAAACAGTAAGAGACAGTAGGCTTACAGAGGGACAATAGGCTCACCTTGTGGGCTGCCTAGACAGCTTCAGGGGGAATAGTTCTGAGCCAGATTGACAACTGGATGCTGATGTGTAAGTGCCAAGGAGAGCAGACAATAGTGGTCCCAGACGTGACAGCTTATCAGCAATCATAGGCCAGAAAAGTTCTGCCTGGTATTAACCCATAGGCAGCTATTTCTTCCCTAGTCCAGCTGCTAATTGGGATTTGCAGTTGGGTATGGTGATTCACACCTATAATACTGGTACTCAGGAGGTAGAGGCAGAGAATTGAGAGCTCTAGACCAGTCTGAGTTACATAATAAGACCTTCTTACAAACTGGCATGTTAAATTGGAACCCCTTTATACAACTACATAGTATAATAAAAATTAATTAAAACAATTTAGTAAATTCATTTTAAGAGCTGGGAAGGAAGCTGGATATACAAAGGCATTCATGGATTCTGTGTATCACCTTGTGTGTTTGTGCGTCTAAGCTACTCTTCCTCGTTCTTGTTCTTTCCTTTTGAGCTCTTCTGTGAAATGCTTATTCTTTTAAATGTTTGTTCTGATGCTTACGATGCTGTTCAAGATGTCCTATAAACCCACACCTGAAGAGATCTTCCTTTGGTTTGTTAATTACACACTGTTAGCCTAGAGTTAGGTGGAATATTGGTGGTAGTGAGAGTGGTGCCCAGTAATGCCATTGGAGTATGCCCATGTCTAGGGCATGCATTCAGGCATTCAAGTCAGGCATCTAGGACCATTTCTGGAAGGACTTGGGCTCAAAGTTCAGAGGAACTGAAACAGAACAAGTCCTGATTTTCTGAACTGGAGTGGATAGTGCTTAGTTACATTGTGCTTTGAGGAGTCTGTTTCCCTATTAATCAGCAACCATTCTGATTACAGCTGCCTACAAGTTTGCATTACTATCCTTCAACTGAGAATTTAGGAATCCTAGCAAACTCAGTGAAGAAAACACACACACACACACACACACACACACACACACACACCCATACCATACACTACTTGTGTTTAAGGAATCTCCAAACAACTGGATAGACTGCAGGCCTGTAATGGTTTCCCAGGAGAACACTAAATTGTTGGCATTTGACAAAATTTGGCTTTGATGAAGTTGAATTTTATAGTAACCTCTATTGGATTGGATCAGGAAATGCTCAGGGCCCAGAGAACCAAAACCATGGATACTTTTTATTGTGCTTAAAATTTTACCTGAAGGTTCTCCTCCCCAGGTCACCTCTACTGTACACCAAAACTTACCCTTCACTTATAAAGGAAGGAGCCCAATGCAAAGGAAGGGAGCCATTAATGCTTAAGACCATATTTCAAATGTAGCTATGAAAAATTTGTCAGAAGTTTCCATGTTTGTTATGTTGCTTAAAAATGTCTAATCATTCATAATTTTTTTAAAAAAATAATACAATTCCTTAGCTTGATGCCGGTAGCTCATGCCTGTAATCCTAGCTTCTCAGGAGTCTGAGATCTGAGGATCATGGTTTGGAGCCAGCCCAGGCAGGAAAGTATGTGAAACTCTTTCTCTGTTAACTATCAAAAAAGCACAAGTGGAGCTATGGCTCAAGTGGTACAACACCAGCCTTGAGTGAAAAAGTTAAAGGACAGCACCCAGGCTATGAGTTCAAGCTCCAGTACCAGAACTTCAGATAAACCAGAGGTTTAACAATTTCATTCACCACATCATTCATCACTTTGAATATTTAAATGCTTTTAACCCATAGACTTACAGAGATGCATGTTTAATGGTTAACTAATCAAACACTCAGATTTTGAGGGAAATTCTGCTTTCATTTATGTGTCCACATAGGCCCTTTTAAATTTTGTCTCCAGAGGAGGAAGCTATTGTTTTAGAATGAGGGTCCACATTTCCCAAAAGTCTGTTGGCAGTTGCTCTTGCTAGGCACTGTGGGACCTGAAATGGCTTGTGCTGACTTGTCCTTGCCTGTCTTGTCCAGTGAGCCTACCCCTGAGGCCTGGCAGTCACTGCAGCGTGGACGGAGTCCCACAGTTGCCACCAGAGGCTGAGGAGACGGGCTCTGTGGGCAGCTGTTTTGCCTCGGAGGATACAACTGAGGACTCAGGGGTGATGAGCTCCCCCTCAGACATCGTCTCTCTGGACTCACAACATGACAGCCTCAAATCCAAGGACAAATGGGCCACAGACCAGGAAGACTGCAGTGACCAGGACCTGGCTGGAACCCCAGACCTGGGTCCCCAAAAGAGCCCATCGTGGGAAATGAATGGCTCTGGCAGCTCACATCCGAGGTGAGTCACAAGGGGATGTCACCCATACTCATCCGATGTTCTGAGGAGGGGGACTTTGTCACAGACACTCAGTTACCATCTATGTGCCAGATGCCTCCCACTGCAATCCTCATTCTGATTTGGAGGTTTCTCATCTACCATCAAGTGTTCCTGCTAGTTGTAGATAGTAACACATCATAATGACATTTGATGCAAATGCTGCCATATTCCTACTCTACTTTTCTACTCAACAGTCTTTTCTTGTTTTGTTTGTTCCAGTACTGGGATTTGAATTCAAGCCCTGGGCACTGTCCCTTTAGCATTGGTGCTTTACCACTTGAACCATACCTCTGCTTCTACCTTTTTGGTGGCTAATTAGAGATCACAGTTTCATGAATTTATCTTCCTAGACTAGCTTTGAAGTTCATTCCTCAGATCTTAGCCCCCTGCATAGCTGAGCTACAGGCACCCTGCTAAAAGCATTTTTTCAAGACCTATCCATGATGATGCATGTATCCATTTTTTATTTGATAGATTCTTAGATTGCTCCAGTATTTCAGGACTGAAAACACCAAGTCTTACACACACACACAAAACACATTACTGTTATCAAGCAGACAGTTTTCTAGAAAAGAAATTATTATCAGCAAGAGTAATCTTCAACTTTATGTAATATTGGGTCATTATTCTTCAGATCCTCCAGTGGTCTGTGACTATCTTGTTATTCCAAATTTGATATTAGTAGACATGCTGAGTTATCACTTGACATCTTGTGTGACTTTGTTTTGTAATCCTGTGATCAGTAAGGGTGAGATTCTTCTTTTTGTTAACAATTTGGATTATTTTCTTTTATGATTGCCTATTTGTGTACTTGGTTCTTTTTGCAAAGTTATGTTACTTTTTTAGCATGTTAATTTCTCCTCTTCTCTGTTATTTACACAGGAAGAATCTCTAAACCATGGCTTGAGTTTAACTTTGTTTTTCTTAATTTGTCTAATACTTGCCTTTGTATATAAGTGAAGATGGAAAGAGGGGAGTGGCCAGTGCTAGGTCTTGACCTCAAGGACTAAGTCTGGAGCTACCACTTGAGCCACACCTCCACTCCTGGCTTTTTACTGTTTAATTGGAGATAGACTCTCACAGACTTTGCTGTCTGGGATGGCTTTGAACTGAGATCCTCAAATCTTAATCTCCTGTATAGCTAGAATTAAAGGCACAAGCCCCCCCCCACCTGGCAATATGGATGTTTCATCTCCCAGATATGTCTCATCTTTACATATTTAAGAGATTCTTGCAATTGCCCTAAGAGGCTCAGTAGTCTGGATTTCTTATAAGGGCTGTCCTGTGTCCAGGGTTTGTTTTCTTATGTGTTATGAACACACACACACACATACACACACACACAAAACTCAGGGAAGAAAACACACACACACAAAACTCAGGGAAGAAAACACACACACGCGCACGCGCATCAGTCTTAGGGCAGGAACTCAGGGCTTGGCTGCTGTCCTTTAGCTTTTTTGTTCAAGGCTAGCCCTCTAGCACTTTGAGCCACAGCTCTCATTCCAGTTTTTGGTGGTTAGTTGGGCTGGCTTTGAACCATGATCCTCAGCTCTTAGCCTCCTAAGTAGCTAGGATTATAGGCGTGAGCCACCAGTGTTTGGCTATGAATTTGTATTCTTAATCAGGCTTCTTTTCCTCTGCTGGGTGGATGTCAAGTTTCCACTTATGGATCAATCTGTGGACACGTTCTTCTGTGCCACCCTGCTTTATTTCTTCATCTCTCATAGCAACACCATGGCTGTGGTTCCATGTTTTTCATAATACTGTTTCCTCTGTGTCTTGTCAATTTTCAGTTAAGTTTAAGATAAACAATATTATGGAAATATTAGTAGAAATAAGATTTAAAAAAGAACTCCTAAGTCAATAAACAAATGAATGCTTTTGTATTTTTTTTATGTTTTCTCCAAACATGCCACCGAAAACACACACTTCCTCATCTGGCTAATGGAATTATATCACTATTTTACTTTGAGTTATTTTTACCTATTATTTTATTATGAGCACTGACTGCCCCCTGTTATTATATATATTCCTTAATAACTAAAATTAAAAGTCTAGCTGGGCCTTGGTAGCTCACATCTGTAATACCTAGCTACTCAGGAAGCTGAGATCTGAGGATCAAGATTTGAAACTAACTCAAGCAGGAAAGTCTACGAGACTTTTATCTCCAATTAATCAACAAAAAGTTGGAAGTGGATCTGTGACTCAAGTGGTACAGGGCTAGTTTTGAGAAAGAAAAAAAAAACCCTCAGGAACAGCGCTCAGGCCCTGAGCCTCAGGACCAGAACCAAAATATAAAATCACATCCAGCCTTAGAGACCAATCTTTTATGTTATCAGAAAGGTAATTAGAAGTCAACCATCCATTCCTTTCTCCTATACCCCAACTAGTCCCCTTCATACATATGCTTCTTGATCTATAATATTTTCAACTAGAGTAGACAAAAATTAAAACATCTCCCTTTTAGTTATTTAACACAGAGATGTCTATTTCTACTATAATCTGTTTGTTCCTCATTGCAAAACCCTTTCCTGCATTTGAGCTACAGCTGAGACTGCTCACACACTTTGAACACAGGCCCCAGCAATACTGTGTATAGAACACATGCTCTGTTTTGCTGGCACTGACCTTTATGTGAGATCTTGATGCTTTTTCTCCAGATAGGAGAGTGAATGGTCTATGGCCACAGCCAGGATAATCCTTAATTTTTGGAACCTGATGCTTTATGAATATATTCTTCTCCCCTCACCTCCAGGGTGCTACCAAACTTGACAATAGTCTCATGAGTTGGAGGATGTTTTAGAACCTGAAAGGCAAACAGTTGACTTCCTGCTATAAGCTGTTTAGCCTTCAAGAGTCCTCTCAACATTACCTATGATTCTTTTTTTTTTTTTTTTTTGGTCAGTCATCGGGCCTGAACTCTGGGCCTGGGCACTGTCCCTCAGCTCTTCAGCTCAAGGCTAACACTCTACCACTTGAGGCACAGCACCACTTCTGACTTTTTCTCTTATGTGGTGCTGAGGAATGGAACCCAGGGCCTCATGCATGCAAAGCAAGCACTCTACCACTGAGCCACCTTCCCAGCCCCTTGCCTATGATTCTTAATACACAGAGTGTAGATAATAACAGCAACCTGCCAGAGGTACCAGGGGTTGGTGACAGACATGCAGGACTGTACAAGTAGGACATATTGCATAACTTTTAAACAGTATCTGTAATCATAATTATTAATTCTCCAGGCACCAGTGGCTCATGCTTGTAATCCTAGCCACTCAGGAGTCTGAGATCTGAGGATCAAAGTTGGAAGCCAGCTTAGACAGAAAAGTCCATCAGATTCTTATCTACAGTTAACCAGCAAAAAGCCATGTGTGGAGATGTGGCTCAAGTGGTAGAGTTATAGCCTTGAGCAAAAAATCTCAGTGACAGCACCTAAGCCCTAAGTTCAAGTCCCAGTACCATTAGGAAATGGTGTTAGCATGGATGTCCATGTTAGATCATTTTCCTTCATGAGGCTTCAGTCAGCTCCTCATCCAAATAAAGAAGAAATTATCTCTGAGTTCCCCAGTTTTGTCTGAGGTGTTATTTGTTGAAGCCAACCTGAGCAGGAAAGTCTTTAGACTCTTACCTAGTTAACTAGAAGAATCCAGAAGTAGAATAGTGTCACTAGTGGTAGAGCACTTGCCTTGAGTAAAAAAGCTAAGGGACGGGGCCCAGGCTCTGAGTTCAAGGCTCTATACTGGTGTGCGTGCGTGTGTGCGCGCACACACACACACACACACACACAATTCCTCCATCAACTTCGGGGCATGTGACTTCAAGTCAGCTGAGAGGGTGGGGCCTGCAACCTCAGTGTAAAGTCTACAAATAGACCCAACCCTTAGACGTCCAGTTCATTCCAGTCTCTAGTTGAGTGGAGCCCAAGGCTGTAACCACAGGAACTCATTAACCACAGGGGCATCTGCCACATTGAACACATCTAGAACCAGGAAACTGTGTAACCAGAGGGACACGGTGACCACAGAAGCACTTAAAAGTCATTTTGTACATTCTAGGTGCCAAGGCTTTGTAACTCTAGGAAGTGCCTGACCACAGGAACAGTTGGGACATGCAATACCCTGAAGATTCTAGAATAGTCATAGCTATAAGCACTACAGAAAAATTAGAAACCTGCTATGTTCTAGAGCCCTCTAGAACAGTGAAGTTCCCTACATTGTCAAAGGAGAATTTATTGCACATGAAAAAACATGGAGAGTTACAATGTCCAGTGCTGTAGACACTAGCCATATTTGGCTACTGAGCCTTTGCCAAGTGGTTGGTCCAGTTCAACTGTATTATAAAATATGCACCAAATGGTCCAGCATAGTGACTCCAGCCTGTAATTATAGAGGATCATAACTTGAGGTCATCCAAGACAAGACATTAGCAAGGCCCCCATCTCAATAAATAAGCTAGGTGTGGTAGCCTAGCCCAGTTATCCCAGCCACGCAAGAAGTACAAGTGGAAGGATCAAGATCCAGGCCTGCTTTTTTTGGGGGGTGTGGGGGTGGGGAGAACACCACAAACACAAGACCCTACCTACTACTTGAAAAACAGCTAAAGTAGAAGGGTTTGTGGGTCTGGCTCAAATTGTGGAGAGCCTGCCTGGCAAACAAGAGGTTCTGAATTCAAACCCCACTACCACCAAAATAAATTTTAAAAATTAAAAAAGCACCAAATCCAGTGCACAATGAAAAGATTATATCAATCACACACATAAATATAAACCATTAGAGAAAATAATAAAACTTTTGTGTGCTGATGGCTCATGCTCAATATCCTAGACATTCAGGAGGCTAAGATCTGAGAACCAAGGCTCAGAACCAGCTTAGGCAGATGAGATACTTATCTCCAGTTAACCAGAAAAAAGTCTGGAAGTAGAGATTTGACTCAAGTTGTACAGCACTAGCCATGACAAAAAA